TTTTTTTTTTTTTTTTTTTTTTTGAAGTGTCATTGGGCAAATGAGGGAGTTTGTGCATTCGTTGCCCCTGTTCTGTCTGCTTTGCAGAGTGATGTCAAGCAGCGTCTCAAACTGTTGAACCAGGTCCCTCTGAGCATGGAATTTTATTGCAGTAGTAAATTCAGGAGAGAAGCTCTGGGAGGCAACTTGAACCTTGCTCTCCCTTCAAACAGGATAATTTCCAGAGAGAATTAAAAGGTGGTTGGACTACAAGCCCTTACTGCCTATATTTCTCAGTGTCTAGACAGTAAGAGCTCTGAGTTTGCAAGTACTTCATGTACCACCCTAGTCCATTTCTGACTATGGATATCACCAAAGCTTAGAGCAAAAGCAGCAAAATGTTTAATAACCATCTGCTTTTTTCAGTAATAGATTTGAATGTATTCTCTAAACCAAATAATGAAAGAAATTGTGAGAAATGGTTGGGAGCCACAGTGGCTTAGATAATACTACCTATTGGACTCTTAGTACTGATGCCAAGTCTTTCATTTACAGACTTTTGTTTGACTTGCTAGTTTGTAAGTCTGCCAACGCTGGTCCAGTAAGAGACCTAACCTAAATAATGTTGCATCCAGGCATTGTCTGTTCAGATAATCACTTAAAGTGGTTTTGCTTAAGGCAAAACATTGCATACAGCATATTCTGGATCTCTAGGCTTACTTTCCTTACTGGAACATGTAGTTCTCAAGTTGCAAGCTTTGCACCTCATTAGCAATAATAGTGCCAGTTCACATAGTCAGGGTAGAGCACACAATAGAGTATTTCTGAATCTGTAGCATTTCAGGAGACTAGGAGAGGAATTGCTTGGAGAGCTCGCATGCCCAAGTTAATGGGTTTAGCCTTAACTTCCCAGAAGATTAGAAGTTTGCATTCAGGGTGATACTTTAAGAAGTAATCAAATACTAAATGTCTTCATCTTAACCTCTGAGCAACATACTTTGTAGGTTGGTCTGCTTGAGAGCCATTTAGAAATAACTAGTAGAACAATGATGCCAGATAGGTTGGGAATTAAACCAGATGGATAATTAATTCTTTGGTTTCCATGGACAAAATAGCAAGGTTGCAAGGAACTGAGAGGTTCCTGAACTGAAACTCTCTCCTCACCCCACCCCACCCCCAGTCATCAGTTAAATTTTAATGCCCAGCATTGCCTCCCTTCAAAAGAAGTTGCCTTGGAGTAATGATTCAATAGTTAAGGGTTCTAATCCACTCTTACAGGATTGTAAATTCAGAGGAAGTCGTTCCCATATCTAACAAAGAATCAGATGGGCATTCTTAAGAATGTTAGAATTGAGCTAATGTTCTTATTTCAAAAATGGAATGTTACACAGCGCCCAAACTTGTGATGGAACATGCTTTGTCATGGGTAAGTTTGTTGGCAAAAATTGTAAATTTTGATAACACACATTGCCTTCTATAAAGGCCATAGTACACAGTAACCATTAAGATAGTTCTTTTCCAGGATGTTCTTTCTCCTTGCTCGCTGCTTCATGAACTTTGCATTCTTTTTGTAATGTTCATTGACCTCCACCAAAAAATTGACACACCTTCTCTTTCTGAATGCCCTTATCTGCCACAGTAGTTCAGATTTATTCAGCCCGGGACCCATTATATTAAGAGTAATATTTGCATTGATTTTGTAATCACTTAAAAAATAAAGTATTTCTTTCTGAAAAGGATTTTTGCCCTAGATTTTCAGTCCATTGCTTTTCAAAGCATTTAGTCTCGTCCTACTGGGAATCCAAAATGCTGCATTGTGTACCCAAACTGCATTTTGCCAGTCCAACTCCTGTGAGTGGATGTTCCAAATATATCTTGCAACATTTGTCAAGCTTGCTAAATGACCGGGTAAATGAAATTATACAGTTGTGGGGCAGGTTTGAGAGGGTCTTTATCCCCGTATGTAGGCTTGACTCCACAATATATTGAATACACTCTTAGCCAGTCTGAAGATGTTAATTAAATATTATTTCACCACTCAACTGTGTACACAATTTATGTGGCTAAAGCATGTATTCATAGAATAGAAACATAGAAACAGAACGAGTCAGAAAGGACCTCCTGGGCCATCTAGTCTGACACCCCGGCTCCAGCCGGCTCCGCTCACGACATTCCCACATTCCAACCATCACTCTGCTTTTAAAGGTATCCTTCTACATAAAAGTATATTAGTCTGTGTAAATCAGTGTGAAACAGATTACTAGAAACTTTCAGATATTCTTTGATTCTCACCACCTAAAACAAACTCAAGTCCATATTTTCTTATATCCATCCCTTCTCTTTATTTTTCCCCCACTACGAGAATTTAGACTGCCAGCAGCTTCTTGGCAAAGTCCATTTGAGCATTTGCTAACTAAAAAGTGCAGTTTAAACAGAGGCAATATAAGTAGAATTAAAGGGTTAGGACCTGTAGCAAAATGTTGCATGAACTCCTTCCTGTTCAGGGTGTCTGCCAGTTTGCTGCCAGTTTGCCCTTTCCCTGGATATTCCGTTGTTCCTTGTTTTCAGTCTTTATCCTCAGCAGATAGCATTCTTGGCCATACGCTCCTCCCACTGGGGTGCTTTACCAAGCCACCTGCCCCCAGGAAAGCTTTTCTCTAAAGCTGCTGGGTTCCACCAGCTCTATGGACACCTTGTATGTGTGGATGGTATCCTTTTGGCTGCACAGAGACCCACACTTGGGCAATAGGTTTGCTATTAGTGCTGGGAATATTTTACAACTAGGCGAGAATGAATGTGTTCAGATTTTGTAAGTAAAAAATCAGCACCATGAATTTCTAGGGAACTAGGGTAGATGGTTGCACTGTTTTGATGTGTCCCACTGGGAAAAGTTTATGTTCCAGCCATTGCTTCTGTTCTGAATACCCACGAAGACTCCAGTTCCCTTCCCTTAGCAGCATCTTACAGGGATGTAAGTCCTACAGGTCAAAAGAGGAGACATCATGGTTGGTAGCAATGGTGATCTTGGTCATTGTATGGGATTGGTAAAACTGATTCAGGTGAGCTAAAGGTTTTTCCCTAGAACAGGGAGTGGGATACCTTGAACCTCCTCAGGCTATGGATCTGAGGTACTTTTCTAAAGAAACAGCATCATGAAGACCAGGAAGCTATCAAAACTGCAATAGTGTTGTGTAGAATCACCGGTCAGGCATCCGATAATTCTACAACACTTCCCCGAAAAGGCCATCCACCAAAATTCTGACCAGATAAGAGGACTATTCAGAGAAGCAACTGCGAAACTTAATAGTAAGAAGCTGGACTAGAACCAAAAGAAAGCTGTAGCTGAGATGGAGAAAACCATGAGACAACTGTTACCCTAGATGTTCCACAAAGCTAGGCTTTATGGACGAGCGCTGGGAAGAAAGCCATTGCTGAAGCAAACCGCATCCAAACTTGTTCAGAGTTTGCAATAAGTCATGTGGGGGATGAAGCAAACACAAGGAGAAAGGCTCTCCAGTCGAGTTCCAAGCTGAACTTGTTGGCCTTGCTGCAGAACGCCATGCATGGTGCCACGCCAAGGGTGCTCACTGCCCCGAGGAGCCCATCCCTATGGAGCAGCCTGGAGTGGGGCTGCTTTTCCTTTGCAAGAGCTGGGAAAGTTGCCAGGACTTGACAGCAAGATGGCTGGAGCCAAATACAAGGCAGTTCGGGAAGGAGAGCTGAACCTACAAAGCTGGGATGGAGGTTTCTTTGCATGTCGTGTGCTGCCCTGCAAGTGTCAGTGAGACAGACCAGTCGGGTGAAGAAGTGCAAGTGAGAAACCTCTTCGTGGGGCCAGGGCCGAATGGGCAGCCCAGGTGATGCTGGCTGCCCCGCAGGTCTTCTCCGCCCTGCCCCGTGATCCTTTGACACAGGTAGCTGCAGTCTCAGAGGTGGAAGACCTCCCAGCTTGGACGTGTGTCTGGAGAACATCTGTGAGTAGGCTCCGTCTCCGATGTCCATGTTCTGTTCAGCGTCAGACAAAACCCGTTTTATTTTCCCTCTATTTTAATGTTTAATTGATTTTAACTGGGGTTTTAGTTTATTAATGGTCAGACGCTGTGAGGTTTGTTTTATTCTACTTGTTTATTGTAAGCTGTCCCGAGACATTTGTAGGGGACGGGGTAGAAAAGCTCTTAATTAATAAAAGGTGGGGTCACCAACATCATGCCCACAGACCCTTTTCCAATCTGGTCCCCATCAGCAGTTTAGGACTATGACTCCCCAGATTCATGACCTTTGCGATGCTTGGGAAGTCAAAACCTTTCAAAGTTGGGCAAGACTACATTGCTAACACTATTGGCTTTTAGTGATAAAATGCATATTTGCAAACCCAGTTTGCAGGTTTTGGGTTGTATTGGGAATCCTGCAAAGCAAACCCACTTAAAGTCATGTGATGGGTAGATAGGTGCTCCTTTATTTACATGATACCAAATCCCTGGGAATGGTTGATCCATTTGCTTGGAAAGAGAAAGACCTAGAGATCTGTGTTATTTTTGTGATATTTTGTTAACAAATAGTGAATTTGAAGCAGCAAGCAAAAGCATAGTCAATGCTCGTCTTTATAGCAATGCAAGCTTGCTAAAAAGCAAACATACTCTTTGAGGGACTAAGGCTGCCAAAAATACATACTTTTATCCCTTTCTTGGCCAAGTTCCATCAAGAAACATCTTTAGCTGTTGACTATGCAAAGGATACGAAAGAAAATCATCTC